CCACTGTCATGGGCAATAAATAGCCAATGAAACCAAACCGAAAAGGGGGAGAAAAAAAGAAAAGAAGAGTAATCTGAATCGAGCGCTTACTATTTATGTTACTATTTGCCACTGTTCATTTTATTTTCTATTTTTTATTCACGCGAGTAAGATATTGATTTAAAAAAGAAAACAATTTGAAAAATACCAAAAATATCCTAACTGTTAGATCTAATAATGTTTAAATCTAGGCCTTTGATTTTTTAGGATACAATAGGCTTTACCACATCGGATACAATAGGCTTTACCACACCAGATTAAAACCCAAATCCATCTCAGCCTTTAAAATAATCTTCCATTTGATCCTATTGCGCCACGTCATCAGGTGTACCAAACACTTGGTACACCGCGACACACCAGATCATAGCTCAGCCCATCCAGACTGTCCTGTCAACTTCCAGATCAAGCCAATCACAGCCGCACGATCAGCTCATCCACGATCCAACGGTTTACAGCGTTCAGACGCACCGGTGCATCATATGCGCGTTCACACCATAGCAAAGTTCAGAGTCTCTCTCTCCTCTCGCTAACAATTCTCTCTCTCTCCTTCGATCTTCCGTTTCCGGCCGTTTTAAGCCGCCAAACCACCACAGAAAGGTGCATCGCCTCCTCTGAAGCAAAACCCTGGCTGTTTTACATGTTTTCACCGTCGAATCTGGCCGGAAAAAGGCTGCGACAAAATCAGCCAACCACAGCTTCAAGTCGACGATTCTCCCTCATCAGCCATCAATAGGCGTCGAGACCAACACCATCAGAATCCTCGCCCTCAGATCTACAGCTTCAAGTAGCCGCACGTGAGCCATATGTGCCGCCAGTAGCATTTTCGTAAATTTTTGATAAATCTGAGGGTATTTCAGTCTTTTACCTATACAGTAGCACTCAGGTAATTTTTTATGATTTTTTATGGTATTTTTGATATTTTTATATAAAAATACTTGTAAATTTTTTTCATGTAAAAAACAAAAATAAACAAAAATAAATTTAAAATAAATAACGACGCGGGTTCAACACCCATTTTATCATGTCACTGTTCATGGGTCAAAACCTGATTCTCAAGAATGGATATACCCATTTCTCAAG